TTAATCAGGAAAGGGTGTTGGATTTTGTCAAAGGCCTTTTCTGCATCAGTTGATAGGATCATGTGGTTCTTGTTCTTTGCATTGTTAATATGATGAAAACATTAATTGTTTTTCTGATATTGAACCATCCTTGCATACCTGTTATGAATCCCACTTGGTCATGATGGATTATTTCTTTGATGTATCGTTGTATTCTATTGGCCAATATTTCATTCAGGATTTTTGCATCTGTGTTCATAAGAGATATTGGCCTATAGTTTTCTATTTTGGTGGTGTCCATTGCTGGCTTTGGTATGAATGATATGCTTGCTTCATAGAATGAGTCTGGGAGAGAGGAAGTAAAATTATCTTTATAAGCAGATGATATGATAGTATACTTAGAAAACCCTAAAGAACCCATTAATACAGGAAACAAAAAGAGACCTGGAGAAGTGGAAGAATATCCCTTATTCATGGATAGGAAGACTCAATATTGTGAAAATGACAATACCGCTAAAGGCAATTTACATAGTCAATGTAATCCCAATACAAATACCAATTCTATTCTTCAATGAGACAGGAAAGGCAATCTCCAATTTCATTTGGAATAGAAAGAGGTCCCAAATAAGCAAAGCACTCCTTAAAAAGAGATATAAGGTAGGTGGCATCTCACTCTCTGATTCCAAATCCTACTACACTGCCATGGTGGTCAAGACATTGTAGTGCTGGCATAATGACAGACACATAGATCAATGGAATATAATTGAGAACCCAAAATCAGCACATTTACCTATGGTCAACTGATTTCTTACAAGAAGATGAAATCATTTATGTGGAGTAAGGATAGCCTTTTAAGAAATGGTGCTGGCAAAATTAAAAAATTATGCAGAAAACTCAAGCAAGATCCACACCTCACTCCATACACAAAAGCCAACTCAAAGTGGATCATGGACCTAGGACTAAAACCAAAGACAATAAACTTCATTAAAGAAAAGCTTGGAAGAACTCCAGAAGTCCTAATCCACAACATCAAAAGGCTTCCAAGCTTCCTGAAAAATCTACAACCAGGAGAGGATAAAGTAGATGACTGGGATCTTCTAAAAATCAATTCCCTATGCACATCAAAAACTTCTCCAAAAGGGTAAAAAGGGAAGCCACAGATTGGGAAAAAATATTTGGTTTGACCATGTGGATCATAACAAACTATGGCTAACTCTGAAAAGAATGGGAATCCCAGAACACTTGATTGTGCTAATGTGAAACCTATACTTGGACCAGGAGGCTATCGTCAGAATAGAGCAGTGAAACACTGCATGGTTCAAAATTGGGAAAGATGTACGCTAGGGCTGCATCCTGTCTCCATACCTTTTCAATCTTTATGTAGAACAGATTATCCGGGAGGCTGGCCTCTATGAGGAGAAATGTGGCATCAGGATTGGAGGAAAAATCATCAACAACCTGCGTTATGCAGATGACACAATCCAGCTTGCTGAAACTGAGGGAAACCTGAAGCACTTGCTGTGGAAGGTCAGGGACTGCAGTCTTCAATATGGTTTGAGGCTCAATATCAAGAAAACAAAGATTCTTACCACTGGGCTGATGTAGCAGCATCATAATGGATGGTGAAGAGATTGAGATTGTTCACAGTTTTGGTTTTCTTTGCTCCACAGTCAACACTCTTGGCACCAGCAGCCAGGAAATTAAAGGACATATTGGAATGGAAAGTTTACAGTTAGAGACCTTTCTAAAGTACTGAAGTGCAACGATGTCAATCTGGAGATTAAAGTGCACCTGATACATATCATGATCTTTACAATCACTTGCTATGCATCAGAGAGCTGGACAATGACTAGGGATGATAAAAGGAGAATTGATGCCTTTGAGCTGTTGTGTTGGAGAAGAGTATTGAATATAACACGGACTGGTAAGAAAACTAACAGGTTTGTCCTGGAGAGGGTGAAGCTGGGCTGGTCCTTGGAGGCAAGGATTCTGAAGCTTTGTCTGACTTACTTTGGACATGTGGCAAGGAGGGACCAGAGCTTTGAGAGGGACGTCATGCTTGGGAAGGTGGAGGACAGCGCAGTAGAGGAAGACACTCAATGAGATGGATTGATTCAGTGACTGGGATAATGGGGGTATGTGTGCCTGAGATGGTGAGATTGGCACAGGATAGGGCAGAGTTTATGGCTGTTGTACATAGGATCGCTATGAGTTGCAGACAACTCGAAGGCACATAACAACAACAACAATGCTATGTCAGACAAAGGACTTATATCTAGAATTTATAAAATACTTGAGCACCACAACAAGATAAAGGTAAATAACCCAATTGAAAAATGGACACAGGATATGAACAGACACTTCATCAAAGAAGACATTCAGATGGTCAACAAACGTGAAGAAATGGTCAAAATCCCTAGCTCCAAGAAAGAAACAAATCAAAGCAACTATGAGATAGGAAAATTTAACGAAACAGCAACTATCAAATGCTGGCGAGGTGTGAAGAAACTGTTGGTGGGAATGTAAAATGGTGCAACCACTATGGAAGGCAGTATGGTGCTTTCTCAAAAAGTTGGAAATAGAAATACCATTTGACCCAGAAATTCCACTACTGGGAATATACCCCAAAGAGACCATAACCACCACCCTAGCAGATATATGCACACCCATATTTAATTGCAACTTTGTTCATAATAGCAAAGAGTTGGAAACAACCCAAGTGCCCATCAAAAAACATATAGAGAATCTCTAGTATAGTCATACAATGAAATACTATGCTGCTTTGAAAAATAAGGAACTCATGAAATATTATACAAAATGAGTAACCCTAAAGGACATTATACTGAGTGAAATATCTCAGTCACAAAAGGGCAAATACTGCATAGTACCACTGTTTTAAATTGGGACTGACATTGGAGTAGGGGGGAGACAGCAAAGAGGGGATAAACAATGTATACTGCATTGAAACAGATGAGAGAGAGAACTGTTTAAAAGGGATATTATTGTCATGACAGAAGCCCAGAATGAAGGCTGCATAGTGGAGTTGACTTGGGGCAAGAGATTGTATAACAATGAAAAAAATTTTCTTTTACATTTCAAAGAAAAGAGTGAATTGGGGGGAATGATAAGCAGGGAGAAAAGTGCAACAATGAATGAATGGAAACCCAAAGCCTCTGTAAACTTTCATTAAAATTAATAATTGAAAAAAACACACAAAAAAGAGTGTTGAAAAAAAAAGAATTTATATCACATATACAATTTTATATTCCATTCCAGAAATCATTTTACATTATTGTATATGTCTTAACAATTTGTAATGTCTGTTCACACCTTATTCTCAATTAAGAATACATTTTAAATAATTTAATATCTGAAATTTAAAGAGGTAATATCTCTAATTACAAGAAGCATTTACATTAAATAAAGAACCTTGGTAGTTTAGTGTGTTATGTGCTGTACTTCTAACCAAAATGTCAGCAGGTTGAGCCCACTAGTGGAGAAGAAAGACTGACAGTCTCCTTTGAGAAGCTTTTACAGACTTAGAAACTTGAGTTAATGTTGCTATGAGTTGGACTCAACTCAAAGGTGGTAGGAATAGGATTGATATAAATAAAAGGAGATACTAATATCTTGGTTGCTAGGTATTGGGAAGAACAATTAAAACAATAATTTATAAAGAAACAAAACATCTCTTCTTGGTGAATTTTTAGATGACTGTTCTTTGGTAATTCCCTTGAATTCTGAGCTAAAAATATGTGTTGTTGTTGTTGCTATGTGCTGTCGAGTCGTTTGCGACCCATAGCGACCCTATGCACAACAGCCCTAAACCCTGCTCTATCCTGCGCCAACCGCACTGCCTCTGACACACCCATCCCGATTACCCCAGTCACCGAATCAATCCATCTCATAGAGGGTCTTCCCCTCCTGCGCTGTCCCTCCACCCTCCCAAGCATGATGTCCCTCTCCAAGGACCCGTCCCTCCTGGCAACATGTCCAAAGTATGTCAGACGAATATGTACTAATTTAGTCACCTTGCACAGCAGTAAAATATATTTTGGATCTTTGGCCTTTTTGCTCAAAGGCATGGAAAGAATTTTCTTCTTTGGGTGGTTTCTGTTCAAAATACATGTCATTTTAAAGTTCCTTTTTGAGAACTTCTACTAACCTGAGCTGTGTAACCCCTTCAAGCTCATCTTCTGTGGCACCTCTGAGCATAGTTAACTCACATCCTGAACATTGCCTCTTTGTGGTCAACAAGGTGTATGACTTTCTGTAAGTGGTTCAAATTGTTAAACATTTGATTACTTTTTTTTTTTTTTGGTTGACTATTTAACCAATCCAGAGTCACCTAGGAAAAGAGACCTGGTGATATGCTTTTGAAAAGTAACAAATTTGCCTTGAAAATCCTCTGGAGTACTTCTCTATGTATACATGGAGTCACCCTGTATGACCTGGAATGAAGTCAAGAAGAGCTAATACCAACATGCATCACTTCTTCTTTCATGGTACCCTCATGGTCCCTAACCTGTAAGAAATCTGTAAGAAATGAAGTTCCTTGGGGAATATAGAACTAGACTATATTAATAGGATTTTCTACCATGTGCTTGAGGAAACAATCAATTACTCATGCAAAATCACATTAGGGAAGAAAACTTCAGGAAGGAAATTAGTAATTACAATTTAAACAGACTGATGGTAGATAACGAAGCCATCCACAATTTTAGAACTAGTTGTTTATAACCAACAAACTCCAGCAGGGTAAAGTGGAATCTCAGTAGCAGATTTAATTGTGTACAAACATTAAAAAAACAAAACCGTCTTTCTTGACACATTTTCTGAAGGAAATTAGACTTATTCCTGAGAGCAGCAAGCCATTGTCATAGGCAGCTTTTTTGGCTCATGTGTGGAATTAACTTGCAGTTTTTAGAGGTGTCTACTAAGGTCATAGATATCTTTCCCTGGGTTAAACTTTGCTTCTCAATGCCATTTCTTTCTTTTTTCTTTCCCCCTCCTCATTTCAGCTGAAACGAAGATCTGTTTCAAATACTACCATGGAGTGAGTGGAGCCCTGCGGGCCACGACCCCCTGTGTCACAGTTAAAAACTCAGCAGCTCCTGTAAGTCTCATTTCCTTGTCTTTTCAGGCTCAATTCTATTCTTCTTTACCTCCCCTTTTGTTCTAATGTGTGTGTGTAATGCATACACATTTGCATGTGCATATACACATAGATGAAGATTTATCAATAGAAATTTGATACGTAGAAATATAAGAGAGACATATAAACCAAAATAGTGGAGAGGAATGAAATATGAAGCCTGGTTTATTAGTGCATACCACTTATCTTTGACAATATACCAACTTTAAATAATTTTTCTAGTTAGTCAGAAGGTTCTAACAGAGCCATGTACAACAGCAAGAACAAATTTTTCTTCAGAACACATTTTACTAATTCCCTGATTTTAAATGTTTACATTTTCCTGTATTTTAATATTTCCTAGATTTTAATTTTTTTTTGCTGTTAGCTGACTTTTCAGTGGGTTTTAAAAGGCTGTAAATAACATGGGAGAACACTGACCATCTTTCTTTGGTGGAGTAGCTGATATTTTTAAACCAGCTGCATTTGGGTTGGTAGTGCAACCCCTTACCACTAAGCCACCAAAGTCCTACTAATCCTTGTCATTTCTTTTTAGGCATATAAATAAATTTATGTGATAAAATGTATAGTATCACACTGATTTTATTCCTAAAATTCTAACTTGGTAGACCTACAAACAACTAGAATTTCTGGTATTTTTTTTATTTTAAATGAATAAATTTTGCCAAAGAACTTAAATAACGTGCTTAAGCCTACATAGTTCACTTGTTGAAAATTTCAAAATTAAATTGAATAATTGCCATCTCCTCACCCCATGGTTAATATTTCATTCAAAAGTGGCATCCACTTCCATAATAGCTTGCCTCTGAAAACTCTATGAACCTGGAGAAAGGATGGAAGTCACACAAGTGTTGAGGACTGACTTTCCGTTCATAGGGTCTCCTATGAGTCGCCTACTACTCAACAGCACTTAACAACAATAACAACAATTGCTAATAGAAACCATTTTTTCCTAAACTGCATTCCAGTTTTTATCTCTGTAACACTTCTTATCTTAATTACCAAGGTATCTGATTAGGTTAACTAAAATTTCATTTCTTGTTATTGTTGTTATGTGTCATTTAGTTGTATGTAACTCATAGCGACCCTGTGTACAACAGATCTGAATTCTGCCCTGTCCTGACTAAGTCTCACTGACTCAGAGACACCTACAACCATTGCCCCAGTTACTGTATCAATACATCTCATTCTAGGTCTTCCTCTCATGCATTGTCCCTCCGCCCTTTTGAGCATGATATCTCTCTCCAAGGACCAATCCCTCTTGGCCACGTGCCCTAAGTGTGTAAGACAGAGCTTCAAAGTCCTGCGCTCCAAGGAGAAATTGGTTCTACCCTCTCCAAGAGAGACATACTTGTTTTCTTGGTGGTCCATGGTATGATCAAGACTCTTCTACAGCACCACCATTTAAAGGCATCATTCTTCTATAATCTTTAGTCATTGTCCAACTCACTGATGCATAGAAAGCATTTGCAAAGAACGTGCCTGTATCAGGCACACCTTAGTCTCTTTACTAATATCATTGTTTCTCAGTACTCTGGAGAGGTACCTGATAGAAGATTTTTCTAAAAAAAAAAAAAAAAAAAAAGAAGATTTTTCTAGTGCAATCTGTCTTTTGATTTCCTGACTGCTGATGCCATGAGTGTTGATTGTGGAACCAAGCAAGCTGTAATTGTTGACAACCCCAATCTCTTCTCCATCTATCATGGTGCTGCCAATTGGCACAGTAGTGAGAATTTTTGTCTTGTTGAGCTTCAATGCATATTGAAGACTATAGTCCTCAACTTCTGCAGCAAGTACTTCAGGTCCTCCTCAGTTTCAGTAAACAAGTTTGTTTCATCTGCATAACATAGGGTGTTTATAAGTCTTCCTTCAATCCTGATGCCACCACACTCCTCCTTATAAAGCCTAGGCTCCTGAATGATCTGTTCTGCATATAGATTGAGAAGGGATATAGGATATATGGATATAGGATACATCCCTGACACACTCCTTTCCTGATTTTGAATTATGCAGTATTTCTTTGCTTTGTTCTGAGGACTACTTCCTGATCCAAATATAGGTTTCACATAAGCCCGATCAACTGAAATTCCCATTCTTCTCATGGTTAACCACAATTTATTGACATCCACACAGTCAAATGCCTTTGCATAGTCAATGAAACACAGATAAACATTCCTCTTTTACTCTTTCTTTATGCCAAGATCCATTTGACATTGGTGATGATATCTCTAGTGCCATGGCCTCTTCTAAACCCATCTTCTATTTCTGGTAGTTTTTTGTTCATGTACCGTTCCAGTTAGTTTTGGATACTTTTCAAAAAGATTTTATTTGTATGTGGTATTAATGATATTGTTCAATAATTTCCACACTATGTCAGATCTCCTTTTTTTTTTTTAAGAATGGAAATAAATATGGATCTCTTCAGTTTACCAGGTAGTTTTCTAGTCAGGAGCTAGTCAGTTGGCCAGGTAGCTGTCCTCCAGACTTCTTGGCACAATGTGGTGAGCCTGTCCAGGGAAGAATTCATTTGTTGAAATATGTCAATTTAGTATCCCATCAATTTCTGGGGCTTTATTTTTTGCAAAGTCCTTCAGAGCATCCTGGAAGTCATTCTTCATTCCCATTATCTCTTAATCATATGTCATTTCTTGAAATTCTTCTGAAGTATTAGCCAATTCTTTTTGGTAGAGTGACTCTATATACTCCTTCCATCTTCTTTTAATGCTTCCTGGATCATTCAATATTCTGCCCATAGCAACCTTTAGTATTGCCACTTACCCCATGAATTTGTTCTTCAGTTCCTTCAGCTTACAGAATGCAGAGCAAGTTGCAACACCCCCATGATACATCTTGAAGGATATGTACATGTACAGCCAAGCACAATCAATAAGAGTGCATCTGAATTCCAAAATCAATCTCCATAATAGTCTATGTGTTTCCTACTGCCAAAGGGGCCCTTTAGAGTAGTGAGAGAAGATCTTCACCCTGAAACCCACAGCGTCCCTTTTCAGCAGGAAGTAGCTAAGAGAATACGCCGTCCCCTTTTCCTTATGACTCAGGGTGAAGTCTCTCTCAGGGAGGAGTGATAGGGAATGGCAAAGGATACACTGACAAAGAAGATTAATCAGAACTGGCTTTGACAAGCACTGTGGCATTTGGACAAGAACAAACTGGGAGGAGGGTAGAGAGAATAGTGCAACAATGAATGAGTGGAAGCCCAAAATCTCTGTAAATGTTTATGAAAATTAATAAAATATAATTATAGGAAAAAAAAAGAATGCAGAGCAAGTGTGGCCCTTTTAGTTTTCAAACTCCAGCTCTTTGCACATTTCATTACAATATGTTTTCTTTGTCTTCATGATCTACCCTTTGAGATGTCCTCTTCAGCTCCTTAATTACTTGATTGCCCCAACCCGCGGGGACATTCAACGGTGACCCTAGGAGAGGAAGAAAGAGAATGGGGGGCGCAGGAGACAAAGAGACATTGAGACAAGTCGAAATTTCCGATCAAGTATCGGCTTTATTGAAAGCATACAGAGATATATATAGGAGGAGGAATGAGGGGAGTGGAAAGGAGGAGTAGGATTACTTAGTAGGGCGTTCCCAGTAAACCAAAACCTGTAATCCCAGGGTGGGGTAAACTGAAACACAATGGGGGGAGTGGAAAGGAGAAGTAAATTTGGGCATTCCCTGTCCTCCCAGGGTGGGGCAACATGTCCAGACATGTCCTTAGAGGATTACAAAATGGCTCCAGCTAGGTAGAACAAAACGGCTTCCAGCACTTGATTTCTTCTGTTTGGCTTCTTGCCACTCTAGTGCATTATTTAGAGTCTTTTCTGACATCCATTTTGGTTTTCTTCCTGTCTTTTTTTTTTTAAATAAGATTTTATTTCAATTGTGATTTTAACAAAAGAAGTTAGATTTTCAGAGATGTTAGATTTTTGTTCATTCATTGTTGCACATTTTACCCTCTTGATCTTCCATCCTCCTCCCCCAGTTAACTTTTAAAAAAAATATTCATTCATTGTTGTGCAATTAGCTCCCCACCCTCCCTCTTCTTTACAGTGATGTATCTCTGATTCTGGGCTGCTCATATTAATTTTCAGGCAGTTCTTTCTTATATCAGTTCCAATAAAATGGTCTTTATCTATCCACTCTGATCCTATTCTCCTAACTCCCCCGTGTCAGACCTGCTTTACAACAATGGTGCTGTGCAGTATTTGTCCTTTTGTGATGGAGATATTTTACTCAGCATGATGTGCTCCAGGGTCCCCCATGTGTAATACTTTACAAGTCCGTTGTTTTTCAGTGCTGTGTGGTATTCTATCGTATGGATATACTGTGATTTTTCTATCCATTCACTTGCTGATGGGTAATTGGATTGCTTCAATCTCCTTGCTACTATAAATAATACGGCAATACCTTTTACATTCTTTGTGGATGATAGTCTTGATATCCCTCTGGTACTTGTTAGTGTGCAAGGCATCAAACCTCTTCCTGAAGTTTTTTGGTTTTGTTGTTTTCTTTTTAATTTGGGTGGCATAGACTCAAGATGAAATCTTTTTTCCTATGCGTTTGATTTTACCTTCTTTAGCTTTAACTTGACCTTTCATATTAGTACTTGATGGTCTGTTCCACAATCAGCACCTGGACTAATTTTCACTGCTGTTGTTGAACTTCTCCAACAATTCCTTCTACAAAAATAATTAGTCTGATTCCTGTGCACACCATCAAACGAAATCCATGTGTATAGCCTGTGTTGATGATTCTTATAAAAGATCCAGTGTGAAAAACAATGAGTATAAACTTTGTAAGTAAACAAGTTATGTTGTTGTTATTGTTGTTATGTGCCGTCAAGTTGCCTGTGACTCATAGCGACCCTATATACCACTGCCCTAAACTCTGCTCTGTCCTGTGCCAATCACACTGTCTATGATACTCCCATCCGGATTACCCCAGTC